CTCTCTCTCTCTCTCTCTCTCTCTCTCTCTCTCTCTCTCTCTCTTGTGTGCGTGTGCGAGAGGCCAAATCCCAGGCCTTAACATCTCTCTCTCTCTCTCTCTCTCTCTCTCTCTCTCTCTCTCTCTCTCTCTGTCTTCGTGTGAGGGGGGAGGGGTTCGGTTTGTCTTCGTATCTCTTGGCTGAACGTTGGATGTGTTTCTTTTTTTTTTTTTTGGTTGGATGTGTTTCATGTCTAGCACGAATGTTTCTTCGGTGTGACAGGCGGCATCTTCAGCCTCATTCCTCTCCTCCGTCTTCCTCGTTTCTGTCGTTGGTCGACCACGTGTCATCCTTGCTTGGGGAGAACCTCCCACTTCTTTTTTTGTTTTGTTTTTTCCGGAGAGGGGCGATGGCTTTGAGATATCATCATTTCATTTTTTTCAAAGATATAATCTTTTTTTTTTTTTTTTTTTTTTAAGATATAATCATTGAACTTTTTTTTTTTTTTAACAAAAGGGGCCCAGAGGGCTTCATCATTATACCGCAAAAAAGAACAACAATTGAGGCCGGGAATCCCTCTCAACACAACCCGGAAAAAGGTACCAATACTGGGGGCACAGCCCAGCTCAGACTAGGTGTCGGGATTCACATGTCTGGAAACAGAAATGGCCAAACACAGACCGCTGTCCCGACTTATCCCCGACCCATTTAATTCAGAATTATTAAAAAAATAATTATTTTATTAAAGATATGCCAGGGGCCTGGACCCACTAGCAAGGTATTCTACCATGCCGTTCAGGATTTCGATTACGTGTGGCATCGAGTGACTCAGTACGGCCGTCGAATAGATCGGATCTCGACGGCCTGGTAGTTTCCGAGGGGGGACTGTAAAGATGCCCACCTCCCGTCCAATGAGATGCGTCGGAAAAAAAAAAAAAAACGAAGTTGGACTAACTTGGACATGATAGCTCGTGGCTTTGCGTGGGCGGGAAGTCAGGATTTCATGGGCTCTAAAAGGGGGGGGTGATTTCCAGACTTCGTTTTTTTTTTTTATTGGCTCTGAGAAATAGAACTTGAAATGTGAAATTCGAATATTGTGGTGCATCTGACAGGAACGCTTCCGCGTCTGTCGGATGGCCTGTTAGAGGCATCATGAGATACATGGTGATGAATGTGTCCCCATACCCGTTACTTGTTCATCCTCGTGGCTGTGTTTGTGGACACATTTTATTGCCACGGTACATCATTATGAAGACTTACGTGAAGGAGATCGTACCAACCCATGAATTCGGGTGCACAGCTGTTCTTCATAGTTTATGTGCTATTTCAATTCATTTTAAATCAGAAAACGATCCATTCATGCAAATAAAAAATCACTTTGTATTTTCCAAAAAAACATAAAACTGTGTCACACGTCGTAGAATACTTCGCTAGTGGGTCCAGGCCCCAGG